CAACTCCTGTAACTACTCCTTCAACTCCTTCAACTCAGGAGGAGCCATACGATATGGAGGAATAGAGATGGGCTGAGTGCCCGGCAACAAATCAACGCCAAAGTCAATATCTCTATCGGATAGCATGCCCGGTAGATCAGCTGGAAATACATCTGGAAAATCCCTCACTACTAGGACTGACTCAACTGTAGGGGTATCGATACTGACTTCTCCCACATAAGCTAGATACGCGTCACACCCCTTCTCAACTATTCGTTGAGCTTTAAGAAATGAAATAACTCTGTTGGGAGTATACTTTAAAGTACCTCTCCACTCTAATCACGGTAATCCTAGCATAGCCAGCATCACGGTCTTAGCGTGACAATCAAGAATAGCATAATGGGGCGACAACCAGTCCATAATCAAGATAACATTAAAGTCTACCATACTGAGCAATAGTAAATCGGCTATGGTCTCAAAACCACTAAGAGCAACCAAACACGACTGATACACGCGGTCCATAACAAGAGAATCTCCCATAGGAGTAGACACATAAATATGGAAACTCAAAGAATCCCGAGATAAGCCCAAGTACGTGGCAAAATAAGAGGACACATAGGAATAAGTAGAGCCTGGATCAAATAAGACCGACGCATCTCTATGACAGACCGGAACAATACCTGTAATGACAAAGTCGGAAGTAACTGCCTCTGTACGAGCAGGAAGAGCATAATATCTGGCCTGGCCTCCCCCTCTAGGGAGACCTCTACCTCCCCGATCTCCACCTCGAGCTGGCTGAGTAGGTGGGGCGGTAGTTGGTGCTGTAATCACAGCCTGAGGACCCGGTGGAGCACGCAGTGTCTGAAAAGTCTGTGGAGGTGCACCCTTCCTAAGTCTGGGGCAATCCCTACCATATGGCGAGTGTCGCCAAACTCAAAACAAGCTCTCAGAGGGCGTGGCTGTTGTGACTGGATCGGGCCAGGTCTGCTGGACTGACCGCTAAGAGCACCTCGTACAGGAGGTGCGCTAGATACTGGCGGTGCTTAATAAGGCTCCTGGGGCCTAGAAGGGACCGGAATACCACTGGCGGCTGGAAGAGCTGAATGAATGGGGCGACTCCCATAGCCCCTACCATGGAGAACTGCAGGTGGGGCACGAGTACCACTATAAGTGCTAGACTCTCGAAACCTCTTGGCCTCCCTCCCCTCTCTCTCCCGAGCAAGCATACCCTCAAATCTCCTAGAAATACTCACAACCTGCTGTTAAGAAATATCCATCTCCAACTCCCGAGCCATGCTAAGCATAATACTGGGATGGAGTCCCTCAATAAACTGACGAACCCTCTCTCGAACTGTGGCAACCAAGGCTGGTGCATGTCGGGCCAAATCACTGAAGCGAACTGCATACTCTGATACAGTCATAGCACCCTGGCGTAACTGCTCATACTCCGCGCGCCATGCGTCCCTGAGGCTCTGAGGGACATACTCTCTCAAAAACATGTCCGAGAACTGAGTCCATGTAAGTGAAGCTGCCTCAGGCGGACTACTCAACTCATAAGCACGCCACCACTGATAGGATGCTCCTCTAAGCTGGAATGTAGTAAAAGAAACCCCACTCGACTCCGCTACGCCTATAATACGAAGAATACGGTGACAATCCTCCAAAAAACCTTGGGCATCCTCTGACGCCAATCCACTGAAGGTGGGAGGGTGGTACTTCTTGTACCTCTCAAGTTTTAGCTGCTCCGCTTCAGAAAATGCTGCCCTAATCTCGGGCTGAGCTGGAGCTACCGGCTGCATCGGTAAAATCTCTGAAACTTGGTCGACCTGAGCCCGTTGCTCTAGAGTACCGGCGATGGGAGTCTGTGCTCCTCCCCGGCCTGAGATGTGGCAGGAGCAAGTGGAATCAATCCAGCCTGAGCTAAAGTGATGAACATGCTCAGAAACTGGACTAGAGTCTCCTGGAGAGCTGGTGCAGCAACAGGTATCTCAGGTGACTGCCCTCCTGCTAGAGCTACTAGGGGCTCCTCTGTAGTAGCTTGTGCGGGTGCTCTGGCTGCACCGCGTGAACGTTGAATCGTCACTTAGTATTGCTAGTTTTCAAGACTTTGAATAGTTTTTGGGGTTTTCCTTCCACTTGGCACTCAAATGAAATTTCTTACCCCTATACTGTGGGCAATTTTTATTTTTTTTTAAAAAAACTTTTTTACGTTCTCACGAGAATAGTAGCGTACATAAATTTTTTAGAATACCAAATATTAATACATATCACCAATTCTCCAATAAGCATCCACGTTTATGTTGGATTGGCCAAGCATTGCATTACGTATCGCCAACTCTCTAATAGGCGCCGAAATAGTCCACGTTGATGCCCAAGCATTATAGGACATATATGTACCCATATCCAATCCTTTGACGTGCCCAAGCAACATCAACATAGTACATTTTGCTAATTGCGAATACATTTCTCAAAGAAAACACTCAAATTTTGACTTAATTAACCATTGCACAGACAAAGAAGAAAAACTTCACCATACATAACTTTTCATTTTTCCAAAGCTACAACTCTTAATATTAAAAATAGGAATTTTTTTCGTTTTTATACAATATTTAAAACTTATTTATCAAAATTATCCTAATTTTATATATTACCCGTTCTAAACAAGGATTACTTACAAATTATATATAATATATTATTAGTGCTTTAAATTAGAAAATTTAGTTACATTTTTTTTCTATTTTCTCTCCACTCCTCTCTCACTATTTTCTGCCTTCTCTCTCCATTTACAATCATATTTTTTTGCTAAAGTGATGGTAAGTCCCTCGTTCAATATCTTAACTTCACGTTTTCTTTTTTGGGATTGTTTATGCTAAAGTGCTGGTAAGTCCATCGTTCAATCGTTCAATATCCCTCGTTCCCTGTTATATGCTTTTTTATGGCAGTCCTTTTCTTTTATTTTCCAATTTATAAATATTGCCGTTTTCCCTTTTTTCCATTTTTTTATGTTGGTTGGTTTTTATTGTGTTTGATTTGACCTTTTTTAAACTAAGTAAAACAAATCTTTTTTTTTTTGTTTCTTATATATGTTCAGATAATCACAAAAGATTCAATTCTTTTAAGAATGGGAAGGACCCAACAATAGCCATGTACCCAACTTGAATTACAGTGGTGAATATCGCAAACATGACATATATAACAATGATCTCGAGATTAGTTGGAGTTGAAGTGTAAGCAGAACAGAGAGATGATAAATTTGTATGGTACAACAACATACAAATTAAAAAATAAATTTCGTAAAAAATTGATACATCTACAACACCATATAAACTAAAAATAGATTTTATACAACTAATTATATAATATACAACTTATTTATAACTCATCTACAACTTTCTTACATTATTTTTACCTAGTTAAATACAACTATAACATCATACAACTTAAATACATTTTCATACAAATTTTATACAATATGTCTTTTGTATGTATTTTGTATATGATTTGTATATATTTTGTAAGTGGCGTGTTCTTCCTCTTTGAAATTCTAAACAAAACTTCCTCTCTTAAAATAATTTTGATACATATCAACAACTTTATGTAAAAAGATAGTATTTATAACTTAAATACAAATTTTATATAACGAAGAACACATTATACAACTATTTTTTAACTTTATTCTTCTTCAAGTTTCAATCTGAAATTTAACAAAAATCAATTTTAATCTTTACCAAACAACCTCAAAATTGAGATATAAACTCCAAAGAATATTCCCAATTGTTTGCAACAATACCCAATCCAAACAAACAATAATTTTTGAAAACCCAAATTCGAATTCAAAGCTTTGAAACTTTTTAATGGCTGTTAATGGTGGAAAATCGAACACTTCAAAATTTATTGACTGAAAATTTTAATTCGAACACCAATTGTGCAACATGAAAGAAAATTACTAAGTTAAAACTCTATATTAAAACAATTGAAATTCATTGATAAAAAAAGAAAGGATAAAAAGCAGAGAAAAATGAAGGAAGAAAAATTGGGGAAAGAACAGAGAAGGAGAGAAAGGGATAGAGACGAAGAGAGAGAGTAGAGATGAGGGATAACTGATTCCCTATTCAATTTCTAATATAAAGAGATACTCATTAATACTAATTTGTATACAATTGGTAAATTATATATGCCCATGTATTTAAGTTAAAACTTGATTATGGAGGGTAATAAAGTTTCATATGTAATATAGGAAAGTAAAAATTTCTTAAAAATAAAATACTCATTTCGTCTTAATTTATGTAGCACCTTTTATTTAAAAAATAATAATTTCTTTTGAAATTTATAGTATAAAATAAATCTTAAATAAGTTTAAATAATTATTTTTAAATATAAAAAGATAATAAGTAGTATTCTTTTTGAAAACTAAAACTAAGGACCCGTTTGGTCATAGATTTTGCCAAAATAAACTTGAGTTTTATTTGGCAAACACATGTTTGGCCATAGATTTTGCCTACATTTTGGCCAAATGCCAAATGCCAAATCCCAAAACCCAAAACCAGCTCAATAGCTGATTTTGGGCCAAAATATCACTATTATATTTTTTAAAAATTGCCCCAAACTTTTGTATTTTATAAAAGAGCCCACCATTTATTATTTTGTAACGATGATGCTTCGTCTTCTAGGTCATCTTATAGTGTATCATGTAGTTTATTATAAAAATGATAATTTTGCATCAAATTTATTTATGTTCAGGATTATGATTTGCGATAATATAATGAATGTTATTGATAATAGTATTGTTGGGTATTTGTGATAGTTTTTAAAACTTGTGGGTATAAGTCATGTTTTATATTTTTCCAAACCAAACTTCACCCAAAACAGAAATCCAAACACATTTTCATCTTCAAACCAAACTTCATCCAAATTAAATTTTTCAGAATAAATTTGAAAATTTATGGCGAAACGCTAGCTAAAAATGTAATATGTAAATAGGGACAAGAGAGTAAAAGGAGAGAGGAGGTACAAATGGTTAGTGAGGAGCTTTTGTAGACTTGTAGATAGAGAATCATCACAAATGCTTTGAATTGGTCTTTGTGTCAACCAATAGTATAGAATCTTATCTTAATGGGCTCTCAGATTCTCAAAATCTCACCTTTTGCTTCTTCTTCAATTTTCAACGCCACTCCACTCTTGAGATTCCAAGCCAAAACGGTATTCACCATTTCTAAGACCCAATTCAGAATCAGGTCAAATCCCCTCATTTCCTCATCTGGGTTTGTTCCTTCAATTAATAATAAGAGAGGTTTGAGAGGTGGGATTGTTGCTATGGCTGCTGCAACAGGAGGGTCCGTTCAGAAATCAGAGGAGGAGTGGCGTGCTATTCTCTCCCCTGAGCAGTTCCGTATTCTCAGACAGAAAGGCACTGAGTATGTTGTTTTGATTTCTCTCCCCTTTTCCCACTTCATCTGTGTAATTGCAACAGTTTGACTTCATACTATATGCACTCTAATGTGGAAAATTTCTTTTCTGTTATCCCAGAAATCCCACGGTTTTGAAACTTGGTGGATAATGGGCCCATCCCTATACCTTCCTTACTTAAATACCAAACCGATACCAGGCTTTCGTGTTCCAACTTGTGATGTGCCCTTGATTTTCTTATTAGTATAACTTCGCTTTCATTTTATTGTCATTATAAGCTATAAAACAAATTCTTGTTTAGTTTCTTTACTTAAATTTATTGGTTGATGGCAAAATTAGCAGCTATTGTTGTTAGTCCATGCTTATTGCCTATGACTAGATGTGTAATGTTCAACATATTTAGGTCTAGGTTTACTCTCTGTATGTGGTGGGTTATGGACGGTCATTTTAGGCGATTGTTACCAAATTCATGGCCTAATTGGCATGCTGAGTTTTTTTTCCCTTTGTCGTTGATTCAAGTTTTCTTGTGCTGCTGTTCTTATTATAAGAAATGCTTGTTATTTCAATTTACTTTTTAGCTTATAAACTGATGCCAGTAACCCGTTTTAGGTGTTTATATGTTCAAAAACTGTTGTAGAGTTTCAAGTTGCTAGAGACATTGATGAGATTCTGCAGTTTTGTGACACCACTCAGTATAATATATGATTTCCACTGAACAATATGAAACTCAGTTCTAATATTTGTTCAAGATCAGTGAGAAAGTGTGTAACTTGACCAAATTTAATGAAGGGTAGATGCAGGTTTATGGAGTTACTTTCTGAATTCACCCAATCTCTTGTTGGAATGGCAAGAAATCTTGAAAATGTTGGATTTTTAATGAGATTTACCGAAAGGAATTGCTTTTTGATCTTGATAAGAAAACTGAATTTCTTTTGAAATGAATATTTGTCATGAGAATTATTTTTATTCAAAGAAAACTAGATTTATTCTGCTTATATTTGGGGTCACATAATCACATTGCAAAGGGTTCTTCATACGTTTTTTGCTTTCCTTGGTTATTTGTTCTGTCCCTATCTCTTTTCTCTTTCCTTTAATGTTTGGAGAGAAGGGGGTGGGGGTGGGGGGAAGAGGTGCGGTGTATGTTGGAGTTTAATGGTGCTTACTAGACTGCTTAGCTCTGTTCAAGATTTATGCACCACTTTGGCATGAGGGTTAACACAATTTTGTGATTCTTGACGTTTAACTGTTTCATATGTTACCTTTGAAGTGGACACCATTACATATATTCTGGAGATTGCCAATGTCTGACAACCAGCGCTCAGCCACATTCTATGTACAAGGACATAGCTCCTAGTTGTAGAAGGCTTATTATTTAAGTTTATCACTTTTGGGTGTGCATATTATATGCTAATTTGCAGAATCTCATCTTCCTAGTTGGATTTGATGCAAGATAAGAGCTTCTTCAAGGAGAGTTGCTTGAATTTGTTCTTGTCGTGTATCTCACCATGTCGGTTTATAAAATTCGTCACCAAGCTTGTGATTGAAGGGGAGCCTTGGAGCAATGGTAAAGTTGTCTCCGTGTGACGTATAGGTCACGGGTTCGAGCTGTAAAATCACCCACTAATGCTTGCATTAGGGTAGGCTGTCTACATCACACCTTGGGATGCGGCCCTTCCACGGACCCTGCATGAACGCGGGATGCCTTGTGCACCGGGCTGCCCTACTTTAGGCTCAAATATTCAAGGAGGAAAAATAGCGTAGTTGAATGACCGTGATGCTTATTAATTGATTAAAATCAACTATTTACCATATTGGATTACTTCACAGGTATCCTGGTACTGGGGAGTATGACAAGTTTTATGGTGAAGGAATCTACCAATGTGCAGGATGCAGTACTCCCCTCTACAAGTCCACAACAAAATTCAACTCAGGTTGTGGTTGGCCAGCTTTCTTTGAGGGTCTTCCTGGAGCTATTAATCGCACTGTGAGCATCTTTCTTTTCCTCCAGGCCACATAAATATGGTTTTGTCATTTTCTTAAATCTTTAGATCATAATGCTCATTAACTGGGAGAGACATTGTTTTTGTGGAAGGGTCATCACTCCCCCTAACTTCTGGGATAGAAATAGAATATAGAATTCCTCAATGAGGTTTTTTTAATATGAATGCCCTCCCTGCCTTTGGGACCAGAAGTAGGGTCTACTCTTTAGATTTTGGGAGGTCTACGTCCCTATGTTGGCACCTTCTTTTGACTTCCTTTTGCTATGTTCCATATTTCTTTTTCTTCCTTTCCTTTCCAAAGGATGCTGGAGTAAATTGTTTGTCATTCTTGAAGCTATTTGGTGGATTAGTTAATATTTTGAATTTGAGAATGAAAACACCAACCCCTCTAAATGGTGACAACGTAAGGGCTCTATGAAATCTTAATTCTAGTTTGAACCTTTTGCATTTATATTTGCTTCACTCTTTTCTAGTTTGAACCTTTTGCATTTATATTTGTTTTAATTGCTCTCCCCCCACCCCTCACGACCACAAACCCCTAAAAGAACTGCTTAGTTTTTCTCATCTGTGATTTTATGATCAATCTCACATATCTGAACTTATTGTTATTCATATTTTCAAAAAACATTAGAAATATAGAAGGTATTCCAGTTGATTTTTCTTGAACATTTTTGGTAATGAGATTATTTGTTCAATGTTTTTATGTTGTATGGGTCCTCCTAGCAATTTTTCTAGATTTGACATTGTGGCACTGTCTAATGTGTGATATCATGGTAC